TTACAGCCATATCCTTAACCAAGAAAACAACCCCAATATGGAAGCATTAAACACAATATCTCAGTATAACAGCCTCGATGTATTAGACATCCCAATAACAGAACAGAAATAAAGACCTCCATAAAACAGCAACAAATCAGCTGGCTGTGACGCGATTCCGGCGGAAATCTATAAGTGTGCAAGTAAAGAAATTATGGATCATCTTAAGGCTCTCTTTGATGTCGTATGGGAAAGCGGAGAGGTACCTCACGATTTTCGCAACGCGAATATAGTGAATATATTTAAGAACAAAGGAAGTGCATCAGACTGCGGTAATTACCGGGGAATTTTGCTATTAGCTATCGGCGGAAAAATTCTTGCAAAAATAATGTCAAACCGCCTGCACCCATATATAGAAAAAAAATCCTCCCAGGATCGCAAACGGGTTTTCGTACCAACCGCGGCACCGTCGATTCCATATTTTCCATCCGTCAACTACAGGAAAAAGTAAAAAAGCAGCAGTCTATCTGAAACTTTATGTTGCATTCACGATCTAACAAAGCCTTCTGACTCTGTGAACAGAGATGCGCTTTGGGCAATTATGGAAAAGTTCGGAGTACCCAACAAATTTCTTACAGTGTGTAAAAGCCTCCATAACAACAAGTCAAGAGTGTCACATCATGGACCACTGAGCGACCCATTCCTAACTAATACAGGAGTTAGGCAGGGATGTGTCTTAGCGCTTCTCCTATTCAATATATTCATGGCAGCGCTCTCCATTATAGTGGACAGCAAACTGCAGGAGAGAGGATTGGGCATTAGATACAACACGTACAAAATTTATCACAGAACTTCAATACGCTGACGACTGCGCTCTAGTTGCAAACACGGTACAACAATTACAAGAAATTTTGAACACATATACCTGGGCATACGACCTTAAGCTAAACATCGACAAAACTAAAATCATGTGCACTCTCCCGGAAGATCACAACAATGCTATAAAAATCGGAGAAGAATTATTGGAATATGTGGCGGAATTCAATTACCTTAGCAGTTTGATTTCGGAAAAGGCCTATATTGAATCTGACTGAAATTCAGCACAGGATTAGTAGCGCCTCATTCTGAAAATTAAAAGACGGGGTTTTCTACAATTATGACTTGAGTACAAAAACAAAACTTGTAGTATACCGAGCAATTATAATCTCCACCATGTTATATGGGTGCGAAACCTGGGTGCCTTACCGCCGACACATGAACGCATTAAATAAGTTGTAACAGAGGCACCTTAGGCAACTTTTAAGAGTCCGGTGGTTCCATCATGTCTCAAACGTATTGGTCCTTGAAAAAGCTAACTGCGAGAGTATTGAAGTCATGGTCATAAAATCCCGCTTAAGATGGGCTGGCCACGTATGCAGAATGCAAGAAAACCGCATACCAAAATCTCTGCTTTACGGTGAGCTTCTAGACGGTAAGAGGAGGCCGGGTGGACAACTGAAAAGATACAAGGACATTTTCCACGAAAATTTAAAGGGAATTAGCATACAGAATGAGTGGGAAAAAGCAGCTCACAATAGAACTCAATGGAGAAGGGTTGTAAACTCAATTACAGCGGCAACCAAAGCAATGATATTTTTGAATGTCCGGAGTGCGGTAGGCAGATAACATCACGTATCGGGCTTTTCAGTCACAGAAAAGCTCATGAAAGAAAACGCCTTGCGTGACCATTTTCTTTATGTGTGTCGAATACTCGTCAGCGAGTAACGGCTGTATGTATGTATGTATATGTATGTTTAGACGTCGCCCGGTACTGGGCTAAAGAATTTTAAATTATAATTGTACATTATGTACCTATATGGTCCGGATACGAAAAAGAAAGAAAAGAAGCGGGAAAGTTCACATTCGGGTTCATGTTGTCTAAATTCAGGGATTGGATTTGGGTTTCTAATTGGGATATTTCTTCTTGGAATGTGTTGATCGGAGGGTCTAGGTTGTGAGGCAATTCGGGAAAATCCTCATAATTATCAGTATTTTGAAAATTATTAGGAAATTCTTCGGGAATTTCGACTTGGTTTTGATAATTGTTATAAGGGGTGTCGTTAAAATTATCAGGACAGTAGTTAACGTAATCGTCATAATTAATATGATGTGTTCTGTTTTGATTATTATTAAAATTTCTATTTTGAAAATTCTGATTAAAATTTCTATTTCGAGAATTTTGATTAAAATTTCTGTTGGGGATATTTGTTTGATTTTGATTATTGTGAGAAACTTGAGTTATGTTTTGAGGTCTAGGCTGAAAATTCATAGAAGTATTTCTTTGAAAATTAGCTGAATTATTTTGATTCATGCCAGGATAGTTTGGTCTATTTTGTTGAAAAGAATTTGTATTAGGTCTTGAGAAATTTGAATTTAAATTTTGGTTAATATTAGGTCTATAAGAATTATTGTTATTTCTACATTGACTAGAACTATGACCAATACGATTACAAACAGAACATTTCACATTGTTAGGAATATTTCTTAAAGGTTGGATAGGTTTGGGATTATTACTCGATTTTTGATTTTCAAGGTATGAGAGTTGTAACTCTCTTCTGATTCTATTTTGAGCTTCTACAAGGGATGTCGGATTACTAGCACGAATTAATTGTCCTAGTCTAGGTTCTAAACCAGTTAGCAAAGTGTTTAAAGCCATTGTTTCTATTAAAATTGTTTGTGCATCCTTTTGATCTTTGTTTAATCCAGATTTTTGAATACTTGAATGTAATTTCGCGTTTAATACTTGTAGACGATTGAAAAATGTTAAAGGAGACTCTCCAGATAGTTGCTTAAGGCGTTGGAGGTCTTGTATAAGAGATGTGAAATCTCTTGAATCACCAAAATGCAGATTTAATAATTGTTTAATGTCAGGGTAGGTTTGTGGGTCTCTGGAACTCACAAGTTGTGCTGCCCTACCTCTAAGCTTGTTTTTGATATGAATAACAAGAAATAATTTTTGTTGCGATGTTGCCATTCTATACGCACAATCGCACGCGTTCAAAAAGTTTGTTAAAAATATTTGGTCACCATCAAATTCTGGGACTATAGAGAAAATTTCCGATAATTTATAAGGTTCTACTTCAAATGTTGTTGCGTTAGTATTGTTATTTGAATGGTTTTCCATTTTGTTTTAGTTAGGTAAAATTTAAAAATAGAAAGTAATTTAATTTAAATTTGGTAAAAGTAGAAAGTAGAGAGTTAAAATTGAAAATTAAATTGTTTCGAAAATTATTTTTTTATATAAGTTTATAAAAATAAAATTATATTATTAAGATTTTTTTTTCTTTAGATATTGTTGTACTTAAAATTTTCTTCATTGAGAGAAACGCTATATTTTATTAAGATAAAATAATAATTTACTGCGATTAATATATAAAATACTTAGAAAAATCGAACAGTTTCTTGGAATATTGTAATATAATATATAGAATGTAAAAGCGAGACAATTCTTTTTACTTACATGTATTGTTTCAAATTCATGTAAGGCCGTGTTCTCGTATCAGTTACCAGGGCTTCACCCAGGTGTTCCTTCCGTAGCTATACCACCAGTTAGACTTGCTTTTCAGTCTCTTTGGCTGTAGGTTCTTTCCTTCGTTGAGGGGATGAGGATTCGCCGCTATCAGTTAGAATTTTTTCGTGTTCTGACAACGTTGACGAATCCTACTGACTGCGCCAGATGTTATATCATCAAATTCGAAGTTCACTTTTAAAAAACTTTATTAAACTTAATTACAAAATTATTGGTATTGAAAAATGTTACTTTTTAAATATAATTAACATAAAAATAATAAAAAATGAAACGGAGTGTCGTTCTGTACTTGATAAAATTAATATAAAAGTCTCTCTGACAATAATTGATTTTCTATTAAATAAAGAAATAATCGCTGAGATTGTTTCAGTACTATTCCGTTGGAAATGCTGATGTTGCTGGTTGACTGACTGGCTCGGACTTGGCGTCGATGGCTGGTCGTCGTCACGCGTCTAGTGGCCAACTTATAAGTAATATATATATATATATATATATATATATATATATATATATATATATATATATATATATATATATATATATATATATATATATATATATATATATAGCAGAGTATATATATATATATATATATATATATATATATATATATATATATATATATATATATATATATATATATATATATATATATATATATATATATATATATATATATTATATATATATATATATATATATATATATATATATATATATATATATATTATATATATATATATATATATATATATATATATATATATATATATATATATATATATATATATATATATATATATATATATAAATCATGTCCTAAAATTGCGTTAGCAACTAGTAATATTTACTATCCTACTATCCTATTACATAATTATTTATTATATTATAATTAATTATAACAAGTAACCACAAAACTATAACATAAAAAACTATACACAAATAAACTAAAATTCGTAAAATAAATGGCAAATAATAAATTATTTTTACACACATCACTGTCACTAGCAGTAGATAGTGTTTGTCGCCGAATATATCCCCGGCTCGTCCACGATTCAATCGCAGCATATCTTTTATCTTCGTCTCGTCAACGCTAACCGCCGATCGATCTCGCCTATCTCTCTCACGGGATTGATTGTTGAACGGGCCGGGAATCCACGAGCTTGCGACGTTACTAATTGACATCTTGATAGAAACTGCAGACCTGCCGCTTCTTTTGCGTGTTTTTAATGGACACAAATCGAAAAAAAACCGCTTCAAACGGTAAAATCGCAAAAAGCGCTGGACACGCAAAAAACGCAAAGCGCAAAAGACGCTTTTTGTGTGGCAGTGGGCTAAAAGTAATTCTACTGCCTATAGTTGTTTCGTTTAAAAAAAGTCTATAAAATTTATTTTTTTATGTTAGAAAGTTGGTAAACACATTTTTGATTAAATCAAAATTCAATATATGTAGGGCGCAAATCAAATGTCGAGCCGATTCAGACGTCCTGAACAGAACTTCACGCCTGGCCCATCGCCTTATCCTCCGGCCCCTGACCAGGTATCGCCTAACGCAAATCCTCTTTTAGAACGTGAACAACGTGAGAGAGATGAGAGAAATACGGACACAAAATCGATAGGAAAGAAAACACAAGAATCGTTAATCGAATGGTAATTGTAATTTTCTATATTATTGTATTAACATACCATCACACTCAAGTGGCATTAAATTAGAAGGGCTCTAATAACTTGGTAATAGTGGTGGGTAAAACCGTTATTTTTAACTAACAGTTGAATCTGTTACTGTTATTTACAAAATATAACAGCTTAAAATATCTTGTTTCTGTTATGTTTTTACTTTAATCTTAAACATCTAAAAGAGCATACACATTGTCCAAATTGTAGTAAAATTATAAAAATCTTCATATTTGTTTCTTAATAAAAAATAATGTACATAAAATATAAAATTTATAAACAAATCAAATTCTCTTGACAAACTATTGAAATATATTCAAACTGAATGTTTTAGAAGATACAAAATACCATTAGTTATATTTTTTTTCAAATACAAGGTGTCCCAGAAATAAGTGCAAGTATTTTAACTGGTAGTATAGTTCAACCCCAGAAACACGCCTATGATTTTTTTTTCGCTAAAAAAAAATGTTGTAATTTTTTTTAGTTTTTAGTTAAAATACATAATTTCTTGATAGTATGGCAACAGAGGTAGTAGATTAAATTTACAAGAAAGAAAATCCAGAAATATCCAGTGGTTCTCAAAATTTGTGCAACAATTTTTTTTGAAAATTTTGTCAAAGTAAAATTAACTTGTTTGGACTTATTTGAAAAACGATAAAGAGAAAATATGTTTCTTTATCGAGATCTACCACCCCTTAAAATACTTGCACTTGGACAAACTGTATACAGGGTGTTTCAAAAAACATGTGCCATCTCTCGTGGGGCGATTCCTCACGTAAAAATAAAATTTATTTTTCATATCAACATAGGTCCGATTCTGCTTTGTTTCGTAGCTACAGGGTGTTAAAGTCTTAATAATCTTTCGATTTATTATAATTTTCTTCCAAGTACTTTTAGTGATTTGAATGGAATTTTAAGGGTAAAAGTTGCTATAAGTGTTACATATTTTAACGCTAAAAAAGTGTTAATAAATGCATCAGGGACGTGCATATGGGTTATCATTGGAATATTTAAAAAAACATGTGCGCCACTGACTTTTTTCATTTGATATCAAAACTGTGTAGACCGTTTAATTCCAATTAAAAGTTATCTCTTGATATTTTGACCAGTTCGGCCACCTTGGTGAGATATACGCAATTTTATTAATCAAAGTTAATAAAATTATAATAAAAATAAAATTAATAAATTATATATTTTACCTAATTTATTATTAAATATTATTACTGTTAAATTATATTACTGTTATATAAATATTATTACTATTAGTCCAACATACAGCAATTTTCTAATAAAAAAATAATGTTATTTAAGATAATTACAAAAAAAACTATTTTTAAAAAGTTTTAACATCCTGTAACTCTAAAACTATGCATTTCCATACCCATGTTTATTGGAACTTTTTTTTCATATTTTTTGATGAGGAATCAGAGTACATATTTAAAACTTTTGCAAGTTAATGATACTAAATTTTTTTAGAAGTTTAATAAAATTGCGTTTATCTCATTAAGGAAGCCGAAATGGACAAAATATCAAGAGACAACTTTTAATCGGCATTAAACGGCTTACACTATTTCGCTAAAAAGAGAAAAAAAGTCAGTGGCGTACATGCTTTTTTTAGAAAAAATATTCCCTAGAAACCGCTATGCATGGCCCTGGTGAATATGTTGACACTTCTTTAGAATTAAAATATGTCGCATTTATATAGTAACTTTTACTTTCAAAATTTCATTCGAATCGCTAAAAGTACTTGGAAGAAAATTATAATAAATCGAAAAAATGTTAAGACTTTAACACCCTGTAGCTACGAAAGAAAGCAGAATCGGACCTATGATCAACAACAAATCTTTTTTATTTATTTTAATCACGAGAACTGGCACATATTTTTTGAAACACCCTGTATTATTATTATTATAATGCTAAATTATTTAATTTCTACATCCTGTAGGTTTGATCGCTCTGTTGAGAAGGAACTGAAGAAACATAAGGAAAATGCTTTAGGTGCAATGCTAAACTTGGCCCCGCCTCCACCTTTGGATTCTGATACACTTCCGGAGTTAAATATATCTAGAGGGACATTGGAAAGACTTGCTGAAGCTACCGCTAGCCAAATGGAGGTTTGCTTTCAGTTGAGAAGAGAACCTGACACTGGTTAGTTACTATAAATATTTTTATACAGGGTGAGTCTTAAATAAGTGCAAATATTTTCAAGGGTGGTATATTTCGACCCCAGGAGCACGTCTATGAGTTATTTTCGCAAAAAATGATGTTGAAAATCGTGCATTTTTTTTAAATTTCCCTGTATATTTTTCGAAAACTTTTTAGAACTGCCTATTCACCGCAAATTTTCCCACGGAATAATTTCTTAATCTCTGATATTACCATAGGTACAGCTTTACTCTATGGTTAAGGTACTAAAAGCCGGTAGCTCTCAAGTTTTTTACAAAAAAAAATATATTTTTTTTTAATTTTCAAACTTACATAACTCGGCTATTTTGGACTTATTTGAAAAATGGCAAAGAGAAAATATGTTTCTTTTATCGAGATATACCAGTCCTGAAAATATTTGCACTTATTTAAGACTCACCCAGTATATGTATCTTTTATTTTACATGTATAAATGTTTTTTTAATAAAATATTTATTAATTACATTTGTTTGGACTTACATAACATACTGGGTGGTGCATCCAGGGTCGCGCCGACCCCAGGCGGCGCGGTGCGGCGCCTGTGTGCGACATCTATGAAGCGCCTTTTTTTGTCGTCATGATTCGCCATGACTATTTTTTATTTTTCAAATTTTGACGGGGATTTATTACGTATGTAATATTTAAAAAAAAAGCCATTTCCCCTCTGTTCCCTTTTCTGTTTGCGAAATTAATCTTAATAGTTTTGCAATTGCTTTAAAACTGCCTCCTCTATAAATACTGTTAAATTTGTTAACCTTTCCTGGCTTATTGTTGAGCTCAGATATTTTTTTAAAAGTTTTAATTTCATAATTTAAGACATAATTTCTTCTTTTCACGCAAAATCAACTTTAATATTCAATGCATCATTTGCTGAAAGTTTCCAGTTCTTAATCGCTATGGATCTTGGTCATCACTCATAAAAAATTAAACTCGTCGATGTGATTTTCAACAAAATAAATCTTTCGTCTACGGAGGATAAAGCTTGATCCAATTTTATGTATTGGAAACTACATTAATTTTAATTTTCGGATCATCGGTAGTGGGGCCTACGTGTTAATAATCAAACCTCTTTGACGTTTTACGACGTCTTAAGGTTGTGGATCTGGAAGTTTCAAATTCAGCATCGACATCTAATTTTTCTGCAATTTTCATTTATAAAATTTGTCAAAATATTTGTCGGTTCTAATTTCTATCAAAAACTTCTTTAATTTTGCGAAAGCATTTAGTACATATTACAACTGCATATTTTTTCTGTTAGACATTTAGCGTCATATTTTTTTGGTTTGGTTTGGTTCGATTGACCATCTTGTTTCGGATAATGGTTTTAAGATTTATTATTTATACAGGGTGACGCACCTCATTCGCCCCGGTTGATTATACGAAAACGGAAAGATGTAGAAACAAAATATTTTATGGGTATATATGGGGAGGTAATGTGCACAATTTAAAATTATTTTGAAATGTACAGGGTGTTTCAGAACTAAGATCCATACCAAAGTTATATTTTTTTATGGAACACCCGGTATTTTATTTCATTTTTGGATTCTTGGGCCCAAAAAAAGGTATTTATTATAAGGGTTAAATATGTTTAAAATCTTTGGTTTTTGAAGATATTTAAATTTGCATGCTACAATATAATAGATTATTAACGTCATGTACATTACTTTTCAGAATTAGTTCTTGTGCTGAGTTTAAAGGTAGAGAAATAATCTTTACAGAAAAATGTCATTCCTTCCTTAAATGTATACAGGGGTATCAAAAATTGCTGGTCTATTTTAAATATTTATTTTACATAAAAACTTCATTATTTCAAATGCAACACTATGTATTTTTTTAAATAATTTGAAGCAGATTTAAATGCTCTTTCAAACTATATTAGGGTTTCCTATACCTATCTGGCTCAGATTTTGAATAAAAAGCGATTTTTAAATAAACTTGTAATCAAGATGGCTAGTGTTGTCATGGCAAGTTTCTAGTGACAGTAGCAATTTTCAAAATCAAAATTAGTTTATGGACTTATTTAAATTTATACCAGTTTACTTTTATTTAATTTACCTACAATAGCAAAATAAAAACACTAAATCACCACAATACACCAAAACACTCTTACTTTTACACTGGACGCGCGTTTCATCAGCAGCGTAGCATCATCAGCAGATGATTATAAACTAAAGTACAATCTACAAGTTGAACGTTTATATACTCGCTCAGTGGGCCCCGAGTGGGCGTGGCAAAATCTAGCCAACCGAGTCAGAGCCAACTGAGCGTAACAGTTAGATTTCCGCTACTAGAGTAGTAGGAACAAAGAACTTGAAGGAATTGGACCGTTGACTCTGTTCATACTATCTTTACATTTATTAATTCTGATGCTTTCATATGCATCTAATTGTCTGTAATTTGAGACTTGTTTAATTAATTTTAAATTATTAAGATCTATACAATGTTCATTATCAACAATATGTTCGGCAACGCAAGATTTATCCGGTCTACCATATCTTATTGAGCTAAATGTTCTTTAAATCTAGTTAATATTGATCTTCTAGTTTGCCCAACATATTTCTGATTACAATCTTTACACGAAATTTCATAAATACCCGACCTTTCCAGTGGAGGTGTTTTATCTTTTGGATTACCTAATAATTGTTGTAATTTATTCTTAGCACTAAAACAAGTTTATAATTGACATTCTTAAAAATTCCTTTTAGACCACGGGATAACTCTCTATGAAACGGTATCGAAAAATATTTAGACGTATCTTTCTCCACTTGAAAAGTCGAATTTTCAGAAATCATTAACCTATACCTACGTTTTCTAATTAATTTATCAACTAGTGAAGGCGAATATCCATTACACTCAGCTACATTCCTAATGTAATCTCTTTCTATTTCATATCTTTCGTTGGAAAGTGGGAAACTAAGTAATCTATGAACTAAGAAATTTAAACTAGCCATTTTATGTTCAACACTATGATGTGATTCATTAGGAATATATCTGCGTGTGGTCGTATTTTTCCTATAGATATCAAATTCCAGGCAATTATTAGTATTTCTAATAACTAATACATCTTCAATAACTAAACATCTTACAATTTCTGAAAATTCGACTTTTCAAGTGGAGAAAGATACGTCTAAATATTTTTCGATACCGTTTGATAGAGAGTTATCCGTGGTCTAAAAGGAATTTTTAAGAATGTCAATTATAAACTTGTGTATAGTGCTAATAATAAATTACAACAATTATTAGGTAACCCAAAAGATAAAACACCTCCATTGGAAAGGTCGGGTATTTATGAAATTTCTTGTAAAGATTGTAATCAGAAATATGTAACAAGTCTCAAATTACAGACAATTAGATGCATATGAAAGCATCAGAATTAATAAATGTAAAGATAGTATGAACAGAGTCAACGGTCCAATTCCTTCAAGTTCTTTGTTCCTACTACTCTAGTGGCGGAAATATAACTGTTACGCTCAGTTGGCTCTGAGTCGGTTGGCTAGATTTTGCCACGCCCACTCGGGGCCCACTGAGCGAGTATATAAACGCTCAACTTGTAGATTGTACTTTAGTTTATAATCATCTGCTGATGATGCTAACATGGTTAGCGAAACGCGCGTCCAGTGTAAAAGTAAAAGTGTTCTGGTGTATTGTGGTGATTTAGTGTTTTTATTTTGCTGTGTAACACCAAAGGTTCCAACCCTCAACTGTAATTTACCTACAATAGTTTAATAAATAATATTTCTTAAATATGTGTTTATTATTCTATCAAGAAAAACGAAGAAGTAGTATTTGAATTATTTTACGATGACTTGTAGATACATGGATTTTCTATAAAAGAGCCAATTACGGCAAATTCACTTTCTTCACTTCCAACGACAGGTTTGTGCCTAATAGGTTTTTTTATAAACCACACTACCAGGCGAAATAGGACAAGAAGTTTTTCAAAGAAACTCTTATCAGGAAGATTCCTATTTGGATATCTTTGAGCATAAGCCCTTTGAGGACAAGAAGCAATTTTCCTCACAAAATAATATCACTAGTAACATATCTCTATTCGTTCCGCCAGCAGATACTGCTCTATTTTTCTTGATAAAATAATGAATACTTGCTTATTAAATTATTGTAGGTAAATTTAAGTAAACTGTTATAAATTATGAATAATAATGTCCATAAGCTAATGTCGACTTTGAAAATAGTTACTAACTGTCACTAGAAAATTGCCATGGCGACATCAGCCATCTTGATTAAAATTTTATTTAAAAATCGCTTTTTATTCAAAATCTGTGCTAGATAGGTATAGGAAACCCTAATATAGTTTGAAACAGCATTTGAATCTGCTTCGATTTATTTAAAAAAATACAGGGTATTATATTTGAAATAACAAAGTTTTTATATAAAATATGTCCTTAAAATAGATCAGCAACTTTTGATAGCCCTGTGTAAATTTAAGGAACCAATACCATTTTTCAGTAAAGTTTATTTTTCTACCTTTAAACTCAGCTTAATAATTAATTCTGAAAAGTAATGTACAGGGTGTTAATAGTCTATTCTATTGAAGCATGCAAATTTAAATATCTTTAAATATCTCAAAAACTAAAGATTTTAAACATATTTAACCCGTATAATAAATGCTTTTTTTGGGCCCAAAAATCCAAAAATTAAATAAAATACCGGGTGTTCCATAAGAAAAAATATAACTTTGGTATGGATCTTAGTTCTGAAACACCCTGTATATTTCAAAATAATTTTAAATTGTGCACATTGTCTCCCCACATATACCCCTAAAATATTTTGTTTCTACATCTTTCCGTTTTCGTATAATCAACCGAGGCGAATGAGGTGCGCCACCCTGTATAATTATGATACATTTTTTAATAAACTCCATCTTTTGGTAGAGGATGAAAACTATTTATATATTTCTTACATAATACAAAAAATCCAGTCGTGTAATTGGTACTTGATGTTGG